GGAAGGTATTAAACACCCCTACAATGCCCTTAATCGGTACCCTATGACGAAGTTAACATTATAAACAATAATAATATAAATATTAAATCCCTTTTTATTGATGATTATTTACATGCTTAAAATTTAAATTAAACAATTGACTCTAAAATATCTACATGGTTGTTTTTATATCAAAAATAAGAAATAAAAGAGAGAGAAGAAGATTAATTGAAATACCTCGTAGCAAGCTTTGTAAATCTTCCAATTTGGAAATTCTAGGTGCTTTGTGGAAACCTTTCACACTACACAAATGCTTCACAAATCTTAAGAAATACAATAGGAGGGAGATAGAGAGAAATTTCGAGCTCTAAGGAGTTCTGGATGAATTTTTGTGGCTCTGAGAACTATGCCCAAGCTGTCTATTTATAGGCATCAGAAAGTGGACAGAACGGCCCATTCCAAAACTGGAACGGCCCATTCTGGATTTGAATGTTATGTATTAATTTTGTGACTGGAACAACCCGTTCTGAAACTACAACGACCCGTTCCAGAAGTGAGATTAGCACATAATTTCCTAGACTGGAACGACCATTCAAAACAAGAGCTTGTAGGCCATTTTAATAACTTGGAATGGCCTGTTCCAATTTAGGAACGGCCCGTTCCAATTAAGGTTTTAGCCCTTTTTTGAGGAGTTTGGAAGGTCCGTTCCAATCTTGGAACGACCCATTCCAATCTTACAATGGTCTGTTCCAATTTAGGAAAAGCCCGTTCCAAATTAGGGTTTTAGGCCCTTTTAGGAACTTGGAACGACCCGTTCCAAATTGGGAACGGCATGTTCTGATTTTGGAACAGCCCGTTCTGGGCCACTAAAACCAATTTATTTGGGTTTCAGGCCTTCTGATGTCCTGTCCTGTTGTTTGCATGCTTTGGGAGCTCCTTCCCTTCATAATAGAGGTCAATTTCCTTGTTTGTATGCCCCCAGACGAAATTGGGTGTCTACAGCTGCCCCTCTTTACTTGTCCTTTGGAATAGTATTGTGTTGTTTTTCCAAAGGCAAGTAAAGACGTAGACATTTCATCCGGGTCTTTTCTTCATCTCTTTGGTGCTGGAATTTCTGCATTGTTTCCCTTGGATATGTGTATTTGCTCGTATCTTCACCCTTTAGAGCAGTTGCGTACTCTATTGGGTAACAAGGCTGACAAACTGTACACTTGATCTTCAGTCTTCGAGTAGAAGCTCCATTGTCTCTCTTGTGATAATGTGTTCCTTTATTTGCAACTTGTTTCACTCTAAGGTTAGGTAACCCTCTTTGTACTAGTTTTGGGGATCTAGCAACCCTTTCACTAAGGTCAGGTAACCCTCTTCGTTCTAGTTTTGGGGATCTAGCAACCCTTTCACTAAGGTCTGGTAACCCTCTTCGTACTAGTTTTGGGGATCTAGCAACCCTTTCACTAAGGTCAGGTAACCCTCTTTGTACTAATGTTGAGGATCTAGCAACCCTTTCACTAAGGTCAGGTAACCCTCTTTGTACTAGTTTTGGGGATCTAGCAACCCTTTCACCAAGGTCAGGTAACCCACTTTGTACTAGTTTTGGGGATCTAACAACCCTTTCACTAAGGTCAGGTAACCCTCTTTGTACTAGTTTTGGGGATCTAGCAACCCTTTCACTAAGGTCAGGTAACCCTTTTTATACTTGTACTTGATGTCTCCTCATTGGCGTTGTGGGATGAAAGACTGCCCCTAGGTGGATAGGCAGGAGAGGTTTGATGTGCCCCTGTGTTGGTGGGCTGAGAAGTGGATGGCTGGCAGGGATTCCAGTGTTGCCCTTGTCACGTGAGTATTGCGATGCCTCTCCAGGCGTTAATCTTGTGGTAGAAATATTTTTCTGAACTTTATTTTCTTAGCTTTGGCTTTTTCATGATTAAAGCTTGCCTTTTTTGCTATATTTTTTTAACTGCTTCTGCTTTTTCAACATTTATGAAACTTTCCTTTTTCTCATGTTTTTTTATCTTTATTTTCATCATCGGTGGAGAGATCTATTCCCATGATATTATTCGTTGAATCTTTATTGATAAGTATTATTTTGGAAGCCACTCCTGGCTTTGGTAAGGAAAGCATTCCTAGTCTTGGCATTCTCTTGGATCATCCTTCATTTGATAAGGAAGTAAGGCGTGATGGCCTCTTCCTGCTTATAGGCTTACTTATTTGGTCGATTCCATTCTATTCCACTGTTGATATGTCTTTGCTTAGTGGGCACATAGAGTCACTTGGGGTTGCCATTTGACACTGCTATTGCTTATGCTTGGCTATTTATCTTTCACGAGTGCTCTATGCTGATGACTCCTTTGACCCATAGGAAGTAGAATGCATGGATGTATGGATGCACATGAAAATGCAAGATAGAAATAATTTTTATTATTTATTCCATTTTTTTGTTTAACGCCCACTACTAGAAAATTACTGTTTAACGTCGCTACATTTACATTAATTTTTGAAAAACGGATGTAAAAAATATATGCGGTGGCAAACTTGTAAATTAATAGAAACTATAAGCACATTTTCATCGGTTCTTCGTAAAATCGATGTAAACATGAAGTATTGTACATCCGATTTCCTTTTAACCAATGTAGAATAGTTGAACAATTTATCTTCTTTCCGCGCGCTGTACAGTACCTTTAGCGCCTCCGCAAACTTTCGCACACGCTCATCTCCACTGGAAGCACAATACCTTTAGGCGGCGACGGCGGTGCTTCACCTTCTGCCTTCCCCTCATCTCGTAAGTCTTTTAGCATCGAGAAACTACCCTTTTCACTCTTCATCGTGCTTCGCTCGGCTTTATTTATTTATTATTTATTGCCTATTAGGTTACGAGTTCGCAAACTAAATTTCCTGCGTATTTGCATTTTTCACCGGGAATGGCAAACTAAATTTCCTGCGTATTTGCATTTTTCACCGGGAATCGGCTAAACTCTAAACCCTGCCACTTCTTTTCTTCCTCTTCCTTCACCGGGAATCGGCTAAACCCTACCATCGGTGAGTGCCGCCGAACCACTTCTGCTTCCTGACCTGTAATGTAGGGTTTTAATTCCAAAAGGAAATTGTTCTTTTCTGCTTTACTCTTTTTTTTTTTTCATTCTTAATATCGTTGTTTAAACGAGCTGTTTGGTGCCTTTTATCTGATGGAGTTTGTTGCTGTGGTGCGTTTGAATCGGCGTTCCCTTTCATTGTTTTATTTAATATTTTTGAGGTGGTGAGGGTGAGGGGTTTGCGTTTTATCTGGATGTTTTGAATGTTGTGAAGCGCTTAGTCGATTGTTAAATTCGATGTAATGTGAGAAGTTCTGCTTGGAAGATGTGGATCTTCGTTGCTGATTGGTTGTGTTTAGCTTGCAATGGTTTCAATTTGCTGTTTGATTTGAAATGTTTCAGGTGCATTGTGTGAATTTGCCGTTTATCCTATTAGTTAGCTGGTGATACTGATTTTAAAGAATTAGCTGATGCTTTCTCTTTCGGGGGTTGATAACTGTAATTTCCTTATTCGTTTTGGATTTATTCACCTCTTCCATCTTAAATAAAAAGAGTAGCACTATGAGAAGCTATCTAAGTATCTACGTATTATGACATTTGGATTTTTTTGAAAATCCGAATGCCGATATTAAGCTGTTGAACTTCTGGCTTCTAATTGTTTTCATTCATGAGAAAGGCAGTAAGGGTGATGTTAATTGTTAGGGGAAAGTGGAATAAAGAAGGCCAAAAGAACTTGCACTGACCCCTCCATATTGATTAAATAATCCATAAGAGAATTTTGTGTTCTGTTTCTATGATTCATTATTGATTGGTTCATAAGCTGAGTTTTAGCTGGGCTAACTTGGTTGATTGTGGCTTTGTTTTTGGGTTCAAATTTCTTGCCTATTAGGTGAATTTAGAGCTTGTGGGGCAGCTGCCTCCAGAAACTTCTAAATTTTTCTCAATATAATATACATGTATAATTACAAATTGCCCTCATAATTTGAAATATATAATAAAAAAATTCCATTATATGAGTATTGCCTCCTTAATTTATGTGTGTGTATATGAGTAGTATTGTTCCAACTACTACTGCTAACTTTTTGGTGTGATTCTACCAAGTTTCTTATAATTATTGAGTTCCGTTTTAGACTTTTATCATCATGGTCAGAAGACAATGGCAAAGAATGCTCATATACAAGTCAAGTATACTTGATTTCTCTTTGGTTGGGAATTTTCTTTGGTAGTTAAATAGTTATTTAATTGATATATTCCTCGAGATTAGCCAAGTAGCTGGTTATAAATCTTTTCTTGAATTATAGTGGAAATGGGGTTCATGTTAAACTAGATATATTGTGGTGGTGCGTACCTATTATGTAAGCAAATTATGGTTTCCTTCATCTATTATTCATATTTGGTCAGAAAAGTATTTATATAGATGTCATGAGTGCCTCTTAGTGTGTTATATTTTCATTCTTTCATATTTATATAAATTATTTTTTCTTCTTAAATTATTAATTTGCTTTATACAGTATGATTATCCTTTTTCTTAAAAATTAAGGATAATCATACTATGACTTAAGTAATAGTATGATCTAAATAAGACTAATGAATTAAGTAGTTTTAAGTTAAATCACAGAAGATCAGGAATTATTATGAAATTAAATGTGTTTAATTTGAATCTAACTACCACAAGAGTAATGTTAATTCAATTAAGCACGGTTTTGTATCTTGAAAGGGAACCTTTAACTTTTAATTAATTTCTTTAATTATTTTAATTAATATTTTAAAAAAATTAAATGCAGTTGTTTTGAAGATAGTGATGGAAGATCAGGAACAATAGTTTACTTTTATAACATGAGAGCTTATAGTGCTTTGAAAGATTATAATTTACTTTTATAAGCTTAATGAAACACTGCTAAGTGCTTATATGACAAGTTCAAATAAACTCCATAAATCTTCGAAACCTGTCTTCTAGAATTGTATTTTTTAAGAGATCTTTTTATGTGAAAGAAATATTTTTATTGGAGGTCTACATTATTCACTTTTTGGTCTCTTTGTTTTTATTGGGTGCAGAGCATTGTGGAGTTGCTTCAACTGAATGTCCCTATGGCGATGAAACTGGCGTTTGATGGTTTGAAGGGTTCTTTTACTCTTTTGCAATTTATTTTTATTTATGATTTCTATAATGTTTAAACCTTTTTGGTTTAAACAGGATATGTGTTAGCATTTTGTAAAATCAAACTGTTGAGAAATCAAGTGTGAATATGATGTTCAGTTCGATCTCTTGGTAGTCATTATCATTAGTCGATCTGTTAACATTTTAATTCTCCCCTAGAATAAGGAAATATTTTTCTACGAAAAAATTAATCTTTGAATGAGCTGGCCAGTAGATGAATAGGATTAAAGGCCCTAGCTTGATTCCATTTTTAAAATATAATTATAGAAAATTAACATTGCTAAATTAATTGATTTTCTTCAAAATTAAACATGATATTTTTATATTTCATATTACTATTAATTTTCTTATGTGCAGTCAACTATTATCCAACTTCTTCCTATATGATTAAAAAAAAAAAAAAAACTTCTAACTATTGTACGGGGTACGTAACATACGTCATCTTCATTTCAGTCTATATGCATTTACTTTTTAATGGTTGCGAGTTAACGTTAACTCCTTTATCATTAATCTTGCCGAGAATCTCACCTAGTGTTTTCAATAACTTTCTTTAAATTTTATCATTAAATAAATTCTCTCTTTTATCATAGAAAAATTGTAGATGGAGATGATACTTCCAAGACTACTGAACAAAGAAATTAATTAACATGTTAAAACTTCTTAAATCATCAAGTATTACCATCCATTTAGTAATTAGTTGAAATTAAATAATATTCAATTTTACATTATATTTTATTTATCGATGATCACTAGATAATAAATTCCTTTTATTAAGGTATCAAATAAATTTCTTAAAAATATAAAATGTTTATGAAGAATAAAGCTACTAATTTAGTCTTTAAAAATATAAAATATTTGTAAAATTAATCCTTTTATTTCATTGGATTTAATCAATCTTACGGGCATAAAGACGAATATAATGGCCTTTTACATATTAAAAAAATAATTTATTAAAAATGCCCAAAAACTAATAGTAATACATAAATTTAAGAGACAAAACAATGGCAAAATTATTTGAAGAATTATTAGATTTACGTGCTAATCTTTAAAGATTATCATATTTTTCAGTCATTTTTTAATAACCTTATTCGACGTAAAATTAGAAATAAAAGACAGAAGTTTTTAATAAAACGAGGTAATGTGACAAAGAGATAAAGATAAAATGTTTTTAGAAAGTATTATTTATAAGATAAGTGGGAATAGCATATATATAGGTCATCTTTAAATTAAAGATCAAATATCTTTTTTACTATAAAAATTAATCTTTAAACAACTGGCCAGTAATTTAATTAATCTGATCAAAACACCTACAATTAAAAATCAAAATTGTAATTTGTAAAGCATTTCGCTGTTAACATATTTTCCATAAAGCATTTAATAATACGCAAGGTGTGTCAAACATGTAATAAATAACCTTTGATTTTAGAGTAATGTTATTCATACACGCTTTTCCGCAAAACAAGAGATCATAGATGGTGGAAAAGAATACAGAAACGTTACCTCCTTTATCATTAATCTTGCCGAGAATCTCACCTAGTGTTTTCAATAACTTTCTTTAAATTTTATCATTAAATAAATTCTCTCTTTTATCATAGAAAAATTGTAGATGGAGATGATACTTCCAAGACTACTGAACAAAGAAATTAATTAACATGTTAATGATAGAATGAAATTTTGTATTTTTCTTTACCATGTTATAGAAATAAGACTTGCTTGAGATGACTGTTACTTAGATGGTGCCTATTTTTTGATAGAGAGTTTTGCTAGAATCGAAGAGAAAAAAATACAACTAGGGGGAGGACAAGGTATTCTTCTAAAAAGAAAATTATATTGCAGCAAGGTTGCCCTATCTTTTTGCATATTAGCAACTTCCTTCAAGCAGACATAATTATAATAATGTTAGAAAATAATGGCATAATCCAAAAGGGGGGTGAATTGGATTCTATGACACTTTAAAAATTTTCAGAGTATTTAGGATCTTTATTTCAATTAAAATTTTTCTAAAAATAAATTTTTAATGAAGTTTCTTAAAGACTTGTTAAAGAAGAATGAATTCTATATGCTTTCTTGATTAACCGATAATGAGGTTCAAAGTTAACACCAAAATGTAATGCTTTGATTCAGTTAAAACCAATGTTATTCATGCACACATGTTAATCAAGAACAATCTTTTTTAATGCACAATCAAGATATTACACAAAATACAAGATAAGAGTAAGAGAAGATTGCACAAGTCTTTTATCCTGGTTCAGCCACTCCACATGTGACCTACATCCAGTCCTCAATCATAACCTGATCAAGATTTGTTCCACTATCTTAATGAAGAAGGTTTACAAGCATACCACACTTGCATATACTCCTACATTCAAGATAACCACTTTCTTGACCTCAAGAAAGCACCCCTTGTAGAAACCCACTACAAGAATTCCTTACCACTTGAGAAACCCTCTCAAGATTTACAAGTATTCACAAAGAATTAAGGAACGAATTCACCTGGAATTCAGAAGCAAATCTTAATCTCTTCCCTTTCAAGAATGTGATGATGATGATGATCCTTTCAAAGTTTTTCACAAACGTTTTTCTTCTTGGATTCACAAAGAAAACTCTCCAAGATTGTCACAAAGACTTCACAAAAACGCTTTTCTAATTTTGATTATCAATTCTTACTCTGTTCTGAAGTTTCAAAATGTCCAAATTATTTATAAAAGTTTCAGAACCAGATAACGATTATTTTAAAGAATAATCGATTATTTTGTTCTTCAGGTTTTCTGGAAACCAACCAAGAACAATATAATCGATTATTTTGCTGGATAATCGATTATTCCAGAGAGTCATTTCTGGGATAATCGATTATTTCACAAATAATCGATTATTACAGCAAGGCATTCCTTTTTGTCAGTTGCTGAAATAATCGATTATATTTAATGATAATCGATTATTTTGAGTTACTTTTCAAAACTTCGTTTTAAGTCTCAAAATAACTTCTTAATCCTTTTAACTCATCATCATACACTCCCTAATCAGTTTAGATATAGATTTAGCTTATGCACACAGCACACACAACAGATAAACTCAATCAAAACATTTTTATAAACTATTTCCTTTTACATAGCACTTTCTTTTGACTTTATTTTTGACTTCTAAGTTGTTGTTGTCCTTGACACACATTCGTTATCATCAAAACTCTTCAAGCCTTAGAGGTGATCTCATCAAGCTCAAGCTTCAACAATCTCAACAAATAATGCCAAAGAGAAGTTAGATCATATGCTAAACACTCTCAAACATGCTAGCATTCTGCTGCAACTAAGTAGTGGAAGGCTGGAAGCTGTGTTTTTCTGACTGCATGTCGAGGGTTGAACATTGTGATCTTTTGTTCCTTCAAATAGGAATTGAAAACTAAGTCACAATTTGTGAAATGGTAGCTGTGAAATAAAATGCTTCTAGATTTCTAATTGTAATTGTCTGTTTGTTCTTATGGTCTATGGATGAGCTGTTGCAAATTCCTTCATCTAAGAGTTATTTATATCTGTGGTTCATGCTTCTATCTGTGTTCTTGCTTCATTGGATCCATATTTAGTTGTTTATATGGAGTAGTTTTTGAGGTTTACTTTATGGTTGGAAGGGAATGAATATGATTGTCTTGATTTCTTTATTTATCTGAAAGTATGGAGAAGCTGCTCATTTATCTATGTTTCTTTTCTTGAATGGTTTGAATTTGGTGAAGTGGAAAGAATGGTAAATTTCTCATTATTTGATGAATCATTTTAGTGCCATTAGTTCTGAATGTGTATAATTTCTGGTGAAGCAGGCAGTTTCCTATATAAGGACCTTGTATGCCTTTACAAATGAAACATTGGCTAAATATTCATATGCAACATCACTGCAAGCTACTCTTAGATATGGTATATTAATAAGCCTTGTTCAAGGGCTTGGTCTTTGTTTTACGTATGGGCTTGCAATATGTTCTTGTGCATTACAACTCTGGGTTGGAAGGCTATTGGTTATTCATGAAAAAGCTCATGGTGGTGAAATTATAACAACTCTGTTTGCTGTGATTCTAAGTTTGTGAGCATCATTCCCAACTTCTATTTTTTTTTCATTCTTTTTAATTATTTTTCACTGTAAAGTGTATTAGTTCTTTCAAGAGGAAAATGACTTCATTGATTAGTACTTAACAGTGTGATGTTATATATAAGAGATTTTGGGATAATTGATGTAGAATTGCCTATAAAGCTTTCTACGATGTAGAATAATGTATATTTTACATTTGTCCCAACAATAACTGATGTAAAATATGACATATCTTACATCAGTTCTATCAATAATTGATGTAGAATATGACATATTTTACATCGGTTCTATTAATAACTGATGTAGAATATGATATATTTTACATCGGTTTCACCAAGAACTGATGTAAAATATGGCATATTTTACATTAGTTATGTCAATAACTGATGTAGAAATGAGACTTTTTACATCAATTTTTAAATCGATGTAAAATGTCTTGCACTTTCTACATAGCTTGAATCTACTTCATTTTCAAAATCGATGTAAAATGTGCCTTCTGTAGTAGTGGCCCTTCCATATGGCCCTACCTCATATGCATGCGATGCAGTTTATGCTCATGTGTTTGTTCTTAAAGATGCAATTCATTTTTTTTTATGTCGGGAAATTAACCTGTACGTACGAATTAAGGTTAATGTTGACGATTTCTTTCTATCCATGCCAATCTTGATTACTGTAGGGATATGTTCTTTTGAGCCCAAGCTTTAGTGGCCCCTTGACTATCCAGTCGATGTGTGGTCAAGTGTCTCTAACCTCTGTTTGAGAACATCTCGGCCTTCCCTTTGTGAGTACTCACTGTGCATTTTCCGTATATCTTTTCAGTACCAATTTTAATGTCATAAGGGTCAAGAGAAAAGAAAGAAGGGATGTTTGTATTTTTTTTTCAAAAGGTTATTAGAA